TTGAGTTTAAACCCTACTACTTTTTAACAGATAGCATCTGATTGCACTGATCTCATCACTGTTCCTCTTCCTCTCAACCAACCAGTCTCCCACCACAGACTTCCCTCTCAAAAATGCCATCCGTAGATTTTGATACAAAGTGGCGGCAGCAGCTATGGATCTGCACATCTGAGCCTTAAACCACTACTAGTACCTCCGAGCCTGTTTTTGTAGAGCCCGAATTTCACTGCGCTCCAAGTTCTGCCGAGTCCCACGAGTCCCACTCCATTTTCTTTTCTCGTACTCTCACGGAAAGAACCCGAAAAAAAAAAGAAAGAAGGAACTCGCAGCCGTGAAACTCACAAAATTTGAAAAAAAGAAGAAGAAGAAACTAAACAAAGCTTTGGCCGTGAAATGCAGTTGTATACATTCTTGGAAGTGGTAGTGTGAGTGTGCCCTCAGTGAGGGCGTCCCACGCCCATGGCCAGGTTGTCAGATTCCAGAAAGTCAAAGAAGGGGAAAAAGAAAAGGAAACACGGATTTGGCCGTGTGAAATTGGCTCTATACGTTCCTCTGAGTGCCAGTGTGATCAGGGTTACAATCCTCTGAGGAAACGCAACTTGAGCAGATCATGGATTCCGCCCTGCCTTGTTGGCAGGGGACTCATAAGAATGAGAAGAGAAAGGGAAAAAAAAACAAAGCAACAACATTCAGAATCTCACCATATTCCTGCAGCCCCCACTTGACTGCCAGGAGTGAGGAGGCCGTGTTCTTTGAGATCCAACAAAAAAAAAAAAAAAAAAAAGTGAACAGGTCATCTGCGAGTGCCTTCGCTCTGCAGTCCCCATCTCCGGCGAGGGGGATACCTCTGATTTGTGGGCGTTTGCGGATGCAGTTTAGCAGGATTTCCAGTTGTAAGATGAACAGCAGGGGGCAGGGGGGCCAACAGACAGCCTTGACCGAGAGATCTCGTCAGTTGGAATGGACGCGAGAGGTGGCCGTTGAGTTGAACACAGGAAGAAGATGCAGTGTACATCGCAATGACCCAACTGCAGAAGCCCTCACCAAACCCTAGCTTCCTGAGCGTGGTCAGGACGAAGGACCGACCCACTCTGCCATAGGCTTTTTCAAGATCTAGGAGCAAGACTGCAATGTCCTTATTCTCCACTTGGATGAGCTTAATCGACTCGATCGCAGTTAGGATGTTCAAGAAGATAGACCTGCCCTGGACAAAGGCCCAATGATCACGCTCCACCAGCTTGGGTAGAATGCGGCCCAAGCACAGGGCCATCGTTTTGGCCAGGAGTTTATAATCCACGTTGAGGACGGAAATCGGCCAATAATTCATAATGTTGGTCGTGTCTCCCTTCTCAAACATTATAGAGATGACCCCATGGGTCATCGCTTGCCCCAACTTACCCCCCAGCATCACCTTGTTGTAGACTTCTAACAAGCGACGGACATAGCGATTCCCAACAACAACAGTAAAACTCAACCGTGAGCCCATCCCTGCCGGGGCACTTCCCTGCTGCCATAACCTTCAACGTTTGCACCAACTCCTCCGTTGTGACTGGCCTATGCAATGCTAGCCTATCTTCTGTAGAGAGCCTTACGTCTGTCTGTAGCCACATATCGGATTCCCGCGAGGGATCTGTGTCCGCCGTATCATCCATTCCCTTGGAGGTGAGAATGTTCGAATAGTAGAGCTTAGCGTACTCCAACATGTCCGAAGCAGCAGAGGCCGGAGTGGCTCTGGCAATGAAAGGGTGTGGTGGAACGTGGAACTGGGGAGGAGCCTGCGTAAGGTCTCCTTAGTGAGCATGTCGTGTACCATGATGCCCTTCAGTTTCAGTGGGTATCTTCCCAGTGAGCCTGTTTATCTGCCTGCACTTTCTCGCACTCTGCCATCTTGCGCTCCCTCTCTGCAGCCCAAGTCCTATCAGAGCTGGGTTGGGCTTCCATACGCCACTTTACTTCCTCGACCCGCTTCCTGCATAAGTCCTCCTCCTTGTTGCGGTCTCTAGCCAGATTTCTGGAGCAAACATCTGTGATGCCTAAAATGGTAGCCATCCCCCCATCAAACCAATCTGTTGTGGAGGGGAAGTGTGGTCGTCGAACTCCACACCTGTATGTGGTCGTTAACCCACTGTTGGAGGCCCGACTCTTCCAAGTTCTGCGAGTTTAATTCATAATATCCCCGAAAAGGAATCGAAGGAAAAAGGGAACAATGGACACATGCCTCCCCCACACAACCATAAGGAAGCTCAAGGAGGGGTCATGGTTCTCAATCCACTATTTCGACCAAATAGTCAGGGGCAATTGTCAATGGGGGAAGGAAATGCGTCGGGGTAGGAGAAAGGTTATGAGTATCAGCGGTCGTCGCTAGTAATTGAGGACACCCAGATGATGGGCCGTCAGAGGACCTTCACGTTAGGAGGTCAGGGAGAGTTGCTGTTACAGAATCCTATGGGAAGCAAAGGAGGAATGGTGATTCAATCGGGGCCACTTCAGAGGGAGGAGGAAGTAAGAAGAGGGAGGGAGGAGGAAGTGGGAAGGGGAAGTGAGAAAGGGGGAAGAAAGGATAGAGGGGATGGGAGAGGGCACGAAGGAGGACTCCGAGGAGATGGAAAAGGAGTAGGAGGATCGGAAGGGTGTAGTGGTAGCATGGAAGGAAAGGAAGACAGGCAGGAGGAGTGGCATCCTTTACAGGGTACGAAGCTGATCATTGAAGGTCATACCTCACAATCAGTAACAGCTCCTTCGTCATGGTTGCAAAGCGTTAAAGAGCCCTTTCAAGGCAGGGCGCACAATCTCAGACACTGAAAATACCTATGAGGAATTTGATCACGGCCAAGGCGTTTTTTATATCCAAATTTTTAATACCTTCAGAGAACCGGGTGGCTGAAACAGCTGGAAAAAAAACATTGATAAAAACTTACCCGACTCAGAAATTGGCAGAACGCGACATTGTGTATTCTACACATGCGAATAACTGGGTCTTCCACGATAAAGCTGCTTATAAATCCACAAATGATAAGACTAAGTGGATATGCAAAAGACTATCAGCTTATAAGCTAGGTTGTTTTACCGGACGTTCGGGACCCCCCTAACCGTCCGGGATGTCCGACCGGACGTCTGGTCGGACGTCGGATCGGACAGGGGTTGTCCAACAACGCGCAAAAAAATAAAAATAAATAAAAATAAAAATAAAAAATTGAAAAAAATCATGTGGCTTCTAGCTTGCATAAGGTGTATGCCACCAAAATTTTGGCTCATTTGAGCCAGTAAAAAAAAATATAAAAATCTTCAAAGTTTCTAATCCCCACCTATACCCCTCCTATCCCCACCAAAACCCCTCGTACCCCTCCTCCCACCCCAAAGAGCACCCTATTACCAAATGCTCAGAAAATTCTGAATTTTTTTATGGGGGATCTCTATGGCATGCGCAACACTTTTATTTATTTTTTTTTATTTTTTTTTTAAATGTCAAAAAGTGGTTGTCCGAGATCCCGGACAACCCCCCTACCGGACGGTTGGGGGAGACGTCCGGCCATCGGACGACTGGTAACCTAGCTTATAAGGGCAGCTATGAAGCGGTGTGTGAAGATTTTCTTATTCTTCCAGGTTTTGCAACTATGTTCACTATTTTATGTTTGTATACGAATGATAAATGCAAGATTGAATCATGGAGAAAATTAAGATAAGACCGATCGGAGGTACGGATCTATCCCTGGACGCCACCTAAACAGAGACCAGATGAGAGGAGAAACCAAATGATGAAATATTTATATTGGGTGGAATTCAGACACATCCCAATAGAAATCCAGGCGGCTTTTATTCATGACTTTAGGGCAAGTCACAATATAGTGGATTTTATAGATCCCCTCCCTGCATATGTGGCTAGAAGAGATGACCATCTAATGTTGGCCCTCAATCATCCAACCACAGTGCCTTTCACTTGGATGATGTCATACCATATAAGGTAGGGGGTAGAGAATACCGCATTCACACAACTCGTAAACTGAGGTCGTGGTGTTTTAGATGCAGAGCGTATGGACTAGTACGGACCCTAACTGCACACAAAACCCAAGAAGGAGGAAGAGGGCAACAGGTAGACTCATTCGAGACCCCTTCAAAGTTAATTTATGGAGGACTGTTGATGCTGGGCACGAAGGATGGGTCTATGTGGAGAATGCTAAGAAGGGGGAAACGCCTAAAGGTTGGACATGGGAACATGAGGGGGATCCTAATTGGGACACCAAACCCCCCGACGCTTGGGTTCCCCCGGAAGTAATGGTTAAAACATCCACGATGCTCACACAGTCAACAAAGTCTATTCACCCGGCGCAACCTGACAACAATGATAGCACACATGCCTCCTCGTTTGAAGCTCAAGGGAAGCATACGGCAAATGGAAAGGAACAGTCCTCTCCTTCTCCAAGTAAAGAAGTCTTTGGGCCCAGAGAGAAGGGCAAAAATTCAATGAGTCACCAGCAGTGGGTACCGGTTAATCACAGGAAAGTGGGTGCACTCTCGGGTCCACAACTAGTTGATCATCTACAGATAGAGGAAAAAGCAGTTAACGCAGTTTATCCCAGTGGGGAGGAGTCGGATTCAGAAACTGACGAGATGGTGGGGATGGTAGAAGAGGCCTCGACCGAAGGCCTGGCTCAATTAAAAAAAGGAAAAAAATAAAAATAAAACAGATAACTAGCCCACACAAGGAGGCTGTACTCACCAGTGATAAGGACTCTCTCATGAAAGAAACCCAATCTGAGTCACTTCAGCCCTCGCACAGAATAACTGTCGGAGAGGAGAACACAGGAGGTCTGATGGGGGATCCACAAGTAGATGAGGAGGAAGCCTCTGAAGCGGTAGGGGAGGGAATGGAGGCAACATCCTCTGATCCGCTCAAAAAGGTCTTTGGTTTTGATCCAATGGAAGTGGACTCCTCTGCAGGAGATTTTGAAATGGAAGATGCAACTCCCCATCCTCAGCTTGACGCGTATGAGGAGCAAAAGATATAGCAGTTAGCCGAGTGGGTGTTGCATAATTTAAAAAACGGTTTGGGGAAACCACTGTGGAATTTTGGGATAATTCTTATGTTCAGCTGGTTAATCTGTTAACCAGCAGTCACAGTCTGAAAATGGTGTTACAACAGGGGCTCCCTGAGGGTGTTCTATGGTCAAAGGTAAGCTTACGAATGCTAAACATTGTGACAGGTCTGTTTCACCCTCCCCATTCTCCAAAGGAAAGGGAAACTACAGGTGAGGGAAGCACATCATTGGTGGAGGTGGGAGTGAGGCGGCAACAGGTATCTAGGGCCGCTTCCGGTCCGCCGTAAAAAGACAAAGAGACTGAAAAGGTCATAATTACGGAAGAAGAAAAAGACCATAATCAGATCATTGTCCTTGAGTCAAGTGGTGGCTTTCCCGAGGAAGGAAGGGGGGTAAGGGTGGAAGATCTGGGTTCAGAACAAAGGGAGTCCGAAGAAGTCAATGAGGAGACTATAACAGATAATACAGTTGCCTCTCCAACGACGCCCCTTACTCAGGATGACTCAAGGAAAGAAAAAAAGGAACAAGACCCAGATAAGCGACAAAAGTTACTGCAAGCTCTTTATGGCAAAAACCCGACATGGTTGCGTGCCACTCAGAAAGCAGACTTGGATCTTAGGTCTCTCAATGTAAATGGCCTTGCTACAACATATGCAGTAAAACGTAAGGCAATCATGAAACAATTGAAAGGAGTGGGGGGTAAATCTTGGCCTGATTTGATTTGCATCCAAGAAACTCACCTCATGGACACTCCTAAGCATAATAGGGCACACAATCTAGTCTGACCCTATCAGAAACACCAAGCCTATTCCACGACCAATGGATCGGCGGGGGTAGTTATTTGGGTACCACCAGACTCTAGGATAAGGATAGTGTACTGTAAAGCCGATCAAGAGCAGGGCAGATGGCTGGTCACGTTGGTTATGCTTGGAATTAAAGTTAATTTGTGTCCTCAACATTTATGGACCTAATGCGGTACAGGAGCGTCGAAAATTTCTTCAAGACGTTAGAAACCATATTCCTATAGGAGTTTCAATCATCATTGCAGGAGACTTTAATGCGGCGCCGAATAGATGGAGAATCCCCTCTCCATGTCCTCCCTATATAGAGGAGGACGAACAAATTATTCAACAGCTATGCGAATCGGAAAATTTATTTGACACATATAGGCGATTATGTCCACAAGAGCAATCATATACGTGTATTAGGAATATTCGTTCCCCTCACCAGTCAAGATCTAGGATAGACTTGATTCTCATGTCTGAGGATCTGGACTGTGTTTTGATGGGAGCCAACATTTTTTCTCAAAGTCCATGGTCAGGAATGAACCACAAGATGTGTGCAGCCTTACTTTCCTTCCGGAAGAAACCAGATCAAGGTAGAAGCTTCTACAAACTCAACTCTCTTTCCTCAAACAAAGAGACTTCAGAACCTACATTCATGATGTATGGAATTTTTGGCACTCTACCAAGAATAGGCATAAATCGTACATAGCATGGTTTAACAATGGGCTAGTATTCTTGGCCAAAAAGTGTAACGAATACTAGTTAATGATCAAAGAAATATATAATCAGGAAATGAGGATTCAGGAACAAATTCTTCAATACGAGCGACAAGATTTCCTAGAACAATTACCTCAACGAGTCGATATTCTAGTACTCAATAGCTAGCTACTAACCTTCACTCAACATCGTTGGCAAGGGTACTTGATCAGAGGCAAAATTTTAAAACACTCGACAAAAAGA